AGCACAGAATGCTCTCAATCGTACTCCTGTAGAAGTTGATGAGAAGCTGTGAGGGGAGCTTGGCCTTTCTCAACCTCCGCAGAAAGAAAAGTCTCTGCTGAGCCTTCTTCACCAAGTGGGAGGTGTTGGTGGTCCATGTGAGATCACTGGTGATGTGGAGACCCAGGAACTTGATGTTGCTGACCCTCTCTCTCTTATAACTGCACATTTAAAGTAGCAAGGATAGCAGCTATCACATTATTAAATCTTATCATGGTTGTGTGCATACACTTGCAACATTTGGTTAAAGTTAGGGGACTATCATCCTTGTGTGTGTTTCAGTACACTTAAAGCTGTGATCCTCTCAAAAATGTACTTTGATCAATATTACTACTGTTGTTTGTTCGTACACAGTAAAGTATGTCAACTTAGACAAATGTGATGTCGAATCTTAAAACCTGCATTGCACCAGCAGTGGTCTTTAATTAAGGTAGGAGACTCCATATATCCATCATTTATATTAAATTATAACTATTTGCATATTCATAGATAGTGTTTCTTTAAATGAGAGTAGTTATGGATGGAAAACAAATAGGCATTATTTCTAGAAGACAGGCTTGTCTGCAGTGAGACAAGGTGAAATAGAAGTTACCTCAGTGTTGCTCCAGCTCCGCAAGTATGCCCATACTATTCCACTGTCACCCTACATCACAAAGTAAATGAAATAACTACAGAGAGTGTAATTAAGGTACAACATGGCTTAATTGATCATGTTCAATACATTAGTCTAGCGTTGCAGTGATGCTATTCGTGAGTAATATCCAACACTGAGCTACAAATCCAGGCGCCACCTTACAGGTATCTATGATAAACCCAGGTTTCTCTTTCTGCCACCTCCTCATCTTCTTGCTCCTTGAGGTATCTCGTCCCACCCTCTGCTCCTCATCCTTCCTGTTGGGTCTATTTTATCTCCATCTCCTACCATCACCTATTCTTCTTGGCCATCCACTCTCTCCTTTTTGTTCCTGTGCTTCTAATCCTGCTTCCACTACATGATTTTTCCTCCTCTGTCGTGCTCACACCGTTGTCCTTCTCACTTATAGGGCAGCTGTGGCTCAGCAGGGCAGCTGTGGCTCAGATGGTAGAGCGGGTTGTCCTCCAATTGCGAGGTTGGTGGTTCAATCCCCACAGTTGAAGTTGCTCCCAATGGCAGGCAGCACCTTGCATGGCAGCTGTCACCATTGGTGTGTGTGAATGGGTGAATGAGAAACACATTGTAAACCGCTATATAAGTGCAGACTATTTACTTATCCTGCTTTGCCACCTTCTCCTCCTCCTCCTGCGGCTTTTAGCTCAATCCATTCAGAGAGCATAAATAGTAAAATGTGCATACTTTTTCATCAGCCTTAGTCTTCACTCTAATTTATTGTCTTTAATGGTACGTACTTGTTAATTTGTTTGCAAACGTGGCGATGATAAACACGAGCAGCCTTTAAGTGTGCAGTTTTGGAAATGATGAAACTTTCTCCTGACATTTTGGGAGGCAAAGGAGAAATAATGATATGAGGATGATATTTGTGAAAGTAGATGCACTCAGCTCTTGCTCAGAGCATGTTCATTCATTTACTATAACCATGCAGCGACTGAGTGACTCGGAATAGGAGTGTTGCTGCTAAGTGGAACAGAGAAGGGGAGCAGCTGGGCGAAATTCACCTGCCACTTCCAATGTGGATCAGAAATTGCACTCACACCAGCAACCCCTCTCCAGCAGTAGGGGAAAAAAAATTAGGGGAAACAGGAGGACAGAACGTGCTGTGGCCATACAAATCACAGACAGTAGATTGAGCGGAGGGCAGTGATGGAAATGGGAAATGGTCACATTCTTTGAGACCTGCTGCGTTTGATAGACAGGGTTTCATGGTCTACTGACGACAAAGCAATGGGTGTAACATGCTGATATACAGCAACTGTGAGATTAGCAGGAGTCAAAAGAGTAACTTAGGCTTATTGTGTTTTATGGCCACAGTTAAGTATTTTATCTTTTGAATCAAGCTTTATTTTTTCCTCAACGTGTTTAGCAAGACATCATAATATATGTGCTACGGTCTCCTTTGTTTAGCCAAGTATATGTTGAATGAAATATATCCTTGCTACCTGAAATATGCCTGAAGGAGAGGTTTTTGAGTATGAAGAAAGTTGGATGGCACGGACTGAGTGCCGTGTCATTTTGACCCCAACTTGCACTGACATTTTTATCTTCAGTCCCATGTGTGCTTCACTTTAGATTTAGGTTTAGGTCAAAAAACAGATTTCAGCTCGATACCAATACAGTAAGCACATGGTAAACAGTGACCTTTCCCAAACTTTAGGGAAATGCTGTACTTTCCTAAACTCAACTGTAACAAAGTTGACTCATACTGTCGTTGCTAGGAGCAGATATTGTAGAAAAAAACAAAAACAAATAAAATGTTAAATATTTGCAAACATGTCAAATATGAAACTTTTGCAACTTGGAAGATATGTTTAATAAAAACATTTCCGTATTACGATGATTTAAAAAAAAAAAATGTTGATGTGTCACTCAAAACAAATATAGTGTTGCAAATAAGTAGATATATAAATGTCATTTCCAAGACTGCTTTATTCTCTGTACACGACTTTCAGCACTTATTCTCCTACTTGAAGAATGGAAATGTGATATTTTACTGCAGCACATTTTTATTTTCAAGTGTCCCTTCCTGTACAGCTGATCTCTGGTATTAGCTGACCCTGGAGTTTACTCTCTCTTGGTATTTTGCATCATTATGTAAATGATTGCAGTTGGCCAAATAAGACGGTTATATTTTTTTGGGCAGGTATATTATTAGAAATAACAGTTTGACAGTGTCTTTTTTGGTCATCTAGCAATTTGCAGACTTGTCCCACTGAAATTGCCCATATCGGTCTTAATCTTTTTTTTTTCATTCCATTCCCTTTCTTTGTGCACACACAGAGCACAGTGCTATTGTTTGCCCCAGTGTGCAGTGACTCTTTCCCTCGCAGGGAGGCAATGCTGTGTCATTCACACACTGATGAGAGCCACAGACCAACTGCAGAGAGGCTGCATTCCAGCGACTGATAACAGACTGCTAATGTACAATATATAGAGTCACACACAGTCACAAAGCTGTTCATTTTACACTCCTCTTCATCTGTGACAGACCAGCCCCCACTTCGCCACCTCTGAGCCCGTCAACATGATGCGCACTTTGGTGAGCAGTCCCAGAAACTGGCCTTGTCAACGGCAAGATGAAGCAAGTGTAAGGACATGCCACAGGTGTATCTGAAGAGGAAGGTGGAGCAAACGCCTGTGTTTGATCTGCAGGCGTATATTTCTGGGTTCAGGACCAAAAACTGTTATTTCTGTTCACAGGATAGATAATATCTACAGTGTGGCAGATTTTAGAAAAAAAGAAAAGAACTTAGAGAGTAAGAAATAAAATTCCCCTAGAAGAGAGACAGGAAAAAAGAAAAGTTAGTGTACAGTACATATTTGGAAAAGCCACAGACAGAGGAACAAATTGAAAAACATAAAGATGGAAAGGTATACAAAGGTACATTTAAGAACCACACAGTTGCTCAGTCAGTCATTCAGACAGACAGTTGCACAGCAGAGACATACTTTATCAAACACAGACAGAAAGTCGAGACGGACATTATGCTTACGCACAGGAGCCAGTCATTCAGTCACTGACAACATCATATAACGCCGTGCATACAGACACACTAACCATTCCCCAGACAGACACACTGATGTCCACACAAACTTGCGAGACAGCTGAGCGACCACGGTGCATCCCAGATCAGTTCATTTTAAAGGTGGCACAATCCGGCTGGCAGCAGCTGGGACTGGCCATCAGGGAGAGATGTGGGGCCACGCTGCCCCAATATATCCATGCAACATTAATATTTCAAAATTGTTTTTCTGGGAATTTATAGTCTGGCTAGCTTTGGCTGTTGGCCTCCATCACACGCAGTCGCTTAAATGTAGCAGGTGAGGTTTGTGTTTTTGTGTGAGATAATGATTGTTTTTCATGTGCTGAGGCGTATTTGAGTTTTTAGCTCCCACTGAGTGAGACACAGTCACATATTAGTTAGTAAGTGGTGAATTAGGTGTCACGTACTATCCAAAGCGTGCATGTGTGTTGTTGATATTCTGATTTATAATCAATTTAACATTTTAAAGAGCTTCTATCTACTGATCGATTGATCTATCTGTCTGATTTTGTTGCTTTGAAGCACTTATATGAATGCAGATAGAAATTTGCACTTTAAAATGAATTAGTTGATGTTAATGTTGTATGATGTTAATTGCATGATAAAGCCTATATTACATGCATTATCAAAGGGTTCAAAAAGAACATCATATAGGAGATAGTATTTTGTTTTTGATTAATCTGTGGATAGTTAAAAATAAACAAACAAACAAAAAAAATGTGAAAAACAAGAGAATGCAAAAATATTTTCCCAACAGCCAAAGGGGATATGTTCAAATTGATTGTTTTGCCTAATGATCAGTCTAAAACACAAATATATTCAATTTGCTGTGACAAAGAAAAGCTTTTTAGCTTAAAAGATGTTTTACTTAAGTATCTACATTGTTTCCAAAAAGATTTGTCTCTAAAATCTAATTGTCAGCAGCATCCTCTTTGATTAAGTGCTTCCAAGAGCATAAGTAGTGTCTTCATCATCTGTGCACTGACTGGACAAAATCATCTACATGCAGTTGTGGTCAGTGTGGTTTCCAACAAAGGAAAAGCAGCTGTGCGCCGTGACGCGCGCATGGGCACGGAGAGAGTAAGAGGGGGGGAGAAGGAGAGGGAGAGAGAGAGAAAGAGAGGGAGAGAGAGAAAGGGAGAGGGAGAGTGCGACACATCTCTCCTCTCCAAATCAACCAGTCAGTATCTCAAAAAATACAAGAAGCGCTGGTGATCCTCCCTCAGATCCGCTCTTTTGCCTTCACCTCCCAAACTGACTTGGTCTCTCCGCGCAAAACTTCCAGGCGAGACGGCCAGCGTGAGCGGAGAACAAACACCATGGATGTGCCACATGAGACGGACCCGAGAAACTGAAAGCACCGCTCAAAGTTTGCCCGCAGAAACCAATTTGTGACACTGACTAAGCAAACACACAACTTTGCGCGCGTGTTTTTCTTCTTTAGCTTTTCTAACACTTTTCACTCATCGACCTGCCGTGTGGGATTGCTTGGATTCCACGGTGTGTCTTTATATGTTCAGCCGGGGAGACGTGTAGCTTTTTTTTGGGGTGGTCCGCTCTAAGGAAGGTGACATGCAGGTTCTCGGTTGGACCATAGTTCTCCTGTGCCAGTGGATCCTGCGGAAGGTGAGTTTATTATCATGCCAAGAAGAAAAGAACTTTAAAATCTTCTCTCTTTTTTTAAATAATCAACCACAGATATTTGAGGTGCAGCGTTTGGAGAGAAACATTTTCTTTTAGAGGTTCCTAGAAATCACTCACATGAAATAAATGACACAAGAAATAACGTTTTTATTGTTTCACATAAAGGTTTTTTATTGAAATCGCATCCAGCTGGACGAGCAGGTGTAATTTCTGGCGATGGAGCCGTATTTCAGCTGTATATAAAAATCTGTTGTTCTCCAAAACTTGGTTGGAAGTTGTTTACTTCATAAGAGCGGGTTAGACTTGAAACAAAGCGCATAAAGAGGATGTCTGGGCTTCATTTTTGGCTTATTTGTCCGGAAAGAAGAGGGGGGGGGGGCGCATGTGCGACTTTTGCCCGGTTTCCAAACGCGCAGATTTGTGCTGTCAGTGCGTTTCCCCTTTACTCCCAGTTAAGCAGCCCTCCTTATCTATTTATCTATTTGCGCTCCCAGCAACTTCCTCTAATTTTTTCTTCAGAAGTTAAACACGCCCGTGGCTTGTTTTATTATCTCGTCGTCGCTATGGCGAAGAGTTTTGTGCGCCTACTTTGGCTGCTGCAGCTGCTGATATGTGTGCTTCGATGCGTGCGTGCATGCGTGTGTGCGCGCTCCCTTGGTTGTTTGGGCATTATGGCAGAGTTTTTCTTGAATTCTTCACACTGACAGTAAAAATGCACATATTATATCTAGAGCCCCACACATGACAGAAGACAATGCAATACAGCACAACGGAATACAATAGGAGGCTGTCTGTCCCAGCAGATCCACACCATCTGTACTCAGCAGGACTTTGGCCTCAGCAAAATGAAAGGGAATAAAAACATGACCTTTTCATCTTATTCCTCTTCCTCTTCTTCACCTCTGACTCCTTGATTTTTCCTCATCTTTTCTGTTTCTTTTATTCTTTTTGCAATTTGGATAATTTTACTACCACGGATGTATTTCTTTATTTTTATTTTTTAAAATATAAGCTATTTGCTGTGTCAGCCTGACACTGTCAAATCTTGTCAAAACTTTTTAATTTGATATATATATATATATATATATATATTATTTATTTTTATTTTTTTTTACTATGCTCAAAAAGCAGCCCCGATGTGTAAAATAAGTCTTATTAGCCCGGCAAATGTCACCAGATTCAAGTGACTAAGTGTAGTGTTCTGGACTGGAAACAGGTGAGGGGGCGGACGGGTGGGAAACCTTCACTGCCAGCAGATTTGTTTGGTGGCCCACGGTAGCCGGCATTCTCTCCAAACAACAGTAGCATCAGAAAAAAATGGTGACAGGAGTGTCTAGTGTGTGAATTTAAAATAACAAACGAAAGAAAAAACGCTGTTGGCTGCTGTCATATTGGGGTTAGGTTACATTGTGACAGATAATAACGCTTCTTTTGAAGATGGAATGCAAATCGTTTCTCCTGCTGTGTCTCGTCCACATGAGAGAGCAGTTCGGGTTCAAGTAGTAAGATTGATTTGGTATTAGATTATATCAGCGCTGCTTCACAGTAATGTGCCATTTGAAATTGTGACAAAAAAAGGAGAGAAAGCGAGGGGAAGGGAAGGGGGTAGAGTCTTGTTTCTTTTCACCAACTCTGTGGTGTGATGATACAGTGATTTAGCTGACATAATATGACAAGTTGCAACCGTGGGAGCACTATTAGCTCGAGGGATTAAGAAGTGACGAGGTAAAGGAGGTGGCGAAGGAGTGAAGGCAGGTGAAAAATTGGGTAAACAGAGGGGAGGCAGGAGGATAAAGAAAAGTCAGCAGAAAGAAAGACAAGAGAAGGCTACGTTAACCGACTTAATTTGACCAGCTCTTTGAACTAAACTCACCCTCAGTGGTCATTTAGAGGAACTTAGAAATCTATTTAAGCACATATGTAAGTCTGCGCTTGAGTGTTTGCAAAGAGACATGGGGAGAGTCTTTGCTTGGTATCTTCAAACTCATTTTGTATTCTCTCGCTGCGTGTAGTATAGATCATTATCCAAACATCTCCTAAAAGTGAATTTTAAAAAATGGATATATTTTGGGTGGGTTCTTACTTTCATCTAAATAATAATAAAACAGTTGCATTTCCTCCATATGATGTCCTATGCTGCAATATTCAGATTTTTTTTTCCACCTTGTGCTTTGAAATGATATCTACAGTAACAGCACTACAAAAGAAGAAAAGATGTGTGAAAAGCTGCTTTGCTGTTTTATGCTCCCAGTAGAAACAATAGCATTAGCCAGCATCTCAACCTGACAAAATCCTCTTATCTCCCCCCATAAAACAACTAGCTATATACCCCAGGGATATTACAGCAACTGAGTCACTTTAATTTCATTATATATAGTCGCACTTCCTTTGCCATCACGTCTCATATATTCTGCATAGCTTTGCATTTCAGTGTCTTTTTGAAAAGTGTGTATGAGAAATCCAGCCGACGATACCCACATGTTACTCTCTTATTTATGCCATTGTGGAGGGAAAATCTGAGCCATCAGAAACAGCAGGATCAGATGTTTTTTGTTTTTTTTTTTTCAACAGAGATTAAACCAGGTGGTTGGTGGTTTGCCTCCCACTTGCTTTTTTTATGTCCATCCATCTGTCTGTCTGTCTGTGGATCATCTAAACTGTCAAGCATCCCAGTTTCAGCAAGCAGGAGGAGGCACCGCTGGTCTGTAATCTGTGCAAATTATATTCTCTGTTCACAAACCGATTAGATGTGTAATCTGTTAAATCATGATGACAGAAGCAATCACATTACTGCTATATCTACTGCTGCTGAAATTGCTCCCAGAGATCAAAGAATTCTTTAACCTAAAAGAAAAAAAAAGGCACAGATTTATACAGTATTTTAATGAATTTAATGTTGTTTGCTTAAGGTTAAGCAGCGATGTATTTTATTTAATTTGTTTTGTCCCCTTTTCAACAGCCCTATGCCCCTCTTTTTTTGACAAACCATTACTTGTGAAATGAGTCATCTCTTGCTTGATGCAGTGAATAGTTTCACCTCAGGCTTTGTATAAGCCCTAAGGAGAGGGAATTTAAATTTAAATGTGTAAAGATATATATTTTAGCGTAATGTGAAAGAAAAAAAATTAAAGCATGGTTATGAACGTACACTGCTTTGCACAAGCAGCTGTCATTACACTTTAGGTAATGGAACTCGGGCAACTGTACATTTAAATGTAATTGCATTTTCAATGATTAAATTAAAGTGTTATTTGAAAAAATTTAAATAAATAAAGTCAAGTATGTTTAATAACTGGTGCAAACTAGATTATCTGTGTATAATAATAGAGGCATGCAGCAGGTTAAAAAAATCACTACAATGTTGCAAAATTCAATTACAAACCAAGTGTGCAGGCTTTCTTTGACTGACAGCTCGACTACACCTGAAGTTATAAGAAAGGAAGCACTAAGTCTGAAATTATTGATAAGGCAATGGTATTCTTTGGTATTAAAACACGAAAGAGGAGAAACCCAGAACAGTTCAAAAAGAGTCGCTGTTCTCACCGGTGAGCCGGCCTGTTGCGGGTGTTTGTTTTCCTGTTAGAGCCACCTGTTCATATTCCTTATGCAGATGTTAAAGGTGTTCCTGGGTCAGAGATTCAGCTACTGCATCGTATATATGCATCGTAAATATATTCAACTATGTTTTAAATTTTAGTCTCAGTTGTGATCATGGTGGAAGAAATATTCAGATCTTTTACTTAAAGACACCACAATGAAAATCAGCAAAACCTCTGCACTGAAAACATTACTTAAATCTATGTGTGTATTGTTAACAAAATGTGTTTCAAGTATTACAAGTTAAAGTACTCATAATGCAGAATAAATATATTATTATTTTATATTGTATTACTGGATTGTTATTATTGATGCATTCTTGTCTAAGTGTCATTTTACTGTTATAAGATGCAGGAACATCAGACAGGAGCGAGGTGGTGCAAACATTTACACAAACAGCCCCCAAATCGGTCCTTTCAGCTTATCTTATTTCCATTGCGGTATAGTATCCACTGGACTCATGAGATGATGTAATAATTTCGCGACAGCTCCAACAGTAAAGACAGTTTCGAGCATGCCAAAACAACAAGGGAGGGGACTGAGATGGTTGCCGCATTGCCGTTTGTTGTGGGAATGGTGTATTTTGTTGAAAAATAGCACTTGATGTTCTGAGTTTAAATAATCAGTGTGGAACCTTGCTCAGCTATTGTTTTGGGCCGCTTAAAAGTACCTAACCCAGAGTAGGGACATTTTTCTCCCCTTAAAACGGTTCTGAAAGAGTTCCTCCATGGCGGTTCCTGCACAAAGGTGTGAACTGTCTATGAGTTTCTGCAGTGGAAAACGGCCTATAGTTGGTTAAGGTGGAGCTAAATTTAACTATTTTATGTATATTAAGGTGGTTTAATCTGTAACAGTACATCAAAAGCTGATCATATGTAGCTTGTAATCGAAAAAAAAAACTAATAATCAAATGTAAGGTAGTAAGAAATGTATTTCCCTTTTTCCCTTATACATACTTAAGCACGCAATTGAAATACTCAAGTGCAGTAGTAGTACTGAAATAGAAATATTTTTGCTGTATTCTACTGATCCTCACTCTGATCTTGCTGCTGCAGTTAGTGAGCTACAGTATTTATTTATTTTTTGTTACAGTTACACATTAAAAGTCTTATTTTTTGTGTTGTTTCATGCAATGGCCTTGTACCGTCCTCACACCAAGAGAATTTGCATTCAAACTGTGCAACACAACATTTCTCCGGCTTAATTAATTTCAAGGATTATATGTTTTCTGCCATTTTCAGTGCAGAAAAAAAAACAATCTGGTCACGGATGTGTCACGTAGCTGAAGGTAGCCGCATCTTATCATCTAGAACCCCCCCCTCATTCTGGTCCTGCGGAGCCTCACTGTAAAGAAGTCTGACATTGTTGCAGAGAGAAAAACAGGA